GATCCACATGTTTGATGCTTGAAACCCCTATAAATGATTGTTAAATCCTCACCATCATTAATCAACCACAACCAATGGCTGTTTTTTTCAAGCAGCCGCTGGATCTTGCCGAAAATGAGCTGTTTCCGGCAACTTCGAACAGCTCCTCGTTCATTGCGGAAACATTCCTTGCTCCGATTCGAGGATGGCTAATGGGTAGATTATATATGATTATATACAGTAATAAATGTAAACGGAATGGATAAGTATAGTGGCAAAGTATGGAAATATTATGGGATAATAATTGGATGTAATGGGATTAGTTTGGATAGTTGCCATCAGATTATTTAACCTATTTACAGATGATTCATAGCGATTTACCATCAAAAATTGTGATTGTCCATATTTGCGTCAGATAACCAGAAGGTAATCATCAAAAATGAGTCAAAATGGTGGTATGCTGGCTGGTGATAATAACCCAGTTATAAGTGGAATAACCGAAGTTAGAGGACCTCTTCAGCAGGCTTACTAACCGCTGAGCGGGATGATCCTCCAAGTAGAATGCAGATCATGATAGGGGTGGTCTTCAAGCTCGGAATATGGATCACATGTGCACGCAGCCCACTTTTGGTACATTCGCATATAAGGGGTTGGTTTAGGGGTGGATTAAGGTATCGTATCTATCCAATCAAAGTCTTCCTGGATTTTGTTTACCCCAATTAAACACTAATCAATCACAGTTTCCTCGCAGCCACTTGCCATTACATGCTGGTTGGGTTTTTGATGCCTGTGGTTCAACAGCCCGTTCTACCAGATTCTTGCAGCTTGGATTCAGTGTCTGAACCCATCTGCTCGTTGACGATGCTGGGGACACTGGGGCGCTCATGTCGACAAGCGACGGCAATCAATACCGCAAGGTTCGTGAGAAGCCAAAAGGGCTGTAGCGTTGAGAGGAAAATAACAGGTGGTCAAATTTTTGAAGCGACATATGGTGACACTAGCAAGGTGGGTGCTGCATGCACAAAGAGTTCTCAGTCGGGCTGTGATGTGGGATTGACCCCATCAGGACTACTCCCTAACATGCAGGTATGGGTCAAAATTGGATGCCCCAAAGCAGGAACCCCTAGCTATCTAGTTTACTACTCAATACAAACTAACAACTGCGGTCCCCTGGGTCTTGTATCCATTACCATTTGTGTGTGTGTGTTTGTCCATGTTGGTGCGTGCTCGGAAGGCAGGGTATTTGCATAATTTCCCGTAATGATAAACGTCCACAAACCTGGTTTATATAGGGGATCTGCTCGTTCAGGGGTCCAGCATGATTGGACAGTGTTTCTCATAGGCTTTCGAATTGCTGTGGGTTGACGGTTGGCTGAGCAAACACATTGATTCCAACAGCGGTTTGGTTCCAAATGTTTGCAGCCCTCATGTTCAATCTGCAGGCATTGGAATCACTGCGGCTCCAATCATTTTTCTCAAGACAAACCTTTGAGCTATCTATCTGCGTGACAGCACCATGTGAATCTTCGTTCACGCATGTATTTGCAATATATGCTTACCAGTAGTACCGCACAAGGCGGTGGCGGAAGTTTCAGAATAGGAAACCTATAGGAGAGCTTGGTTACTGGTTGTTGTGAATCACGGATGGCAGAGCGATTCCGCTGATGGACTGAAAGGTGGTTGGAGTTGTGTTTTTTGGAATGGTTACAATGGTTGCAGTGGTCACCTGGTCGGTCACCTCACCCACAACTGCTGGATGTAGTGTGGTGTAGCGCAGCTGTAGTTGTAGCGTAGTGGAGTTGTAGTTGTGGTGTAGTGTCATTAGTGTAGTGTAGTTGCAATTGCATTTGTGGTGGTGTAGTGAGTGTAGCGTAATTTAATGTAATGTAGGGTAGTGTAGTGTAGCCTAATGTAGTGTAGTCTAAAGTAGCGTAGTTGTAGTTGTAGTTGTGTAGTGTCGTGTAGTGTGGCGTAGTGTGGTGTAGGGTAGTGTAGTGTAATGTGTCGTGTACTGTAGCGTAGCGTAACGTAGTGTAGCGTAGTGTAGTGTAATTGAATGTAATGTAGTGTAGCGTAGTGGAATGGAGTGTCGTGTATGTAGTGTAGTGTAATGAAATTAGTGTAGTGCAATGTAGTGTACAGCGAAACCACTGTTTAAGAACCTACTGCAATAAGAACTTCAGAGGCTGGATTGCTGGACACCCTTTCTGTCAACTAATTGGCATAAGAACCCTACGGTACCCTCGAATTCTAGCTAGTGGTTCTTATTCCCCTTTAACGGGTATAAATATACCAAACATTATCAAATAGCGATTATTTTTTAAAAATGTTGAAATCATGTATGTTCCGCATAGTGCAAGATGCCCTGTAAAAAATCGATCTCCCGACCTCCCGCTTATTAGGTTGACGCTCTACCAACTGAGCTATTGACCCTCTGGCCTTGGTGTCTGCCAACCCTTTATCTAACGCTTTGACCTATTTTTTCTACGGCTGCGCAACAACAAATCCCTTTCTCCATGTGTTGGCGCGTGTGCTTTTCAGCCCGTGCTGCCTCTGTTTTGGATGGCTGCTCTGTTTTGGATTCGCTGCTTGCAGAGATGTCTCCGGAGGCACTGTTTCCACATAGTTCTAAATTGGGAAATTACTAAGAATTTGCAAAGCCCTCACCATATGAACCCTTTAAGAACTAACCCGTTAAGAACTTGAGGGTACCCTCGTTCATACTTCCAATATTTTCCACCTATCGCACTTAAGAACCTAGGGTAGGCTGGAAAATTCCTAGTCGGTTCTTATCTAACTGTTCCGCTGTAGTTGGAAATCTAGTGTAGTGTAGCGCAGTGAAGTGTAGTGTAATGTAGTGTAGTGTAGGGTAGTGTAATGTATGTAGTGCAATGTAATTAGTGTAGTGTAGTGTAGTGTAGTGTAATGTAGTGCAAGTGTAAATGTAGTGCAAGTGTGGTTGTAGCTGTAGTTGTATTGTAGTGTGGTGCAATTGAGTGTAGTGTAGTCTAGTCTAGTGTAGTCTAGTGTAGTGTAGTGTAGTGTAGTGTGGTGAAATGAAGTGAAGTGGAGTGGAGTGTAGTGTAATGTTATTAGTGCTGTGTAGTGTAGTGTGTAGTGTAGTGTAGTCTAGTCTAGTGTAGTGTAGTCTAGTGTTGTGTAGTGTAGTGTAGTGTAGTGTGGTGAAATGAAGAAGTGGAGTGGAGTGTAGTGTAATGTTATTAGTGCTGTGTGGTGTAGTGTAATGCAGTGTAGTTGCAGTTGTAGTTGTAGTTAGTGTAGTGTAGTGTCGTGTAATTATGTGCAATTAAGTGTAGTGTAGTGTAATGTACTTCGCGTAGCATAGTGTAATGTAATGAGTGCAGTGGTAGTTGTAGTTGTAATGGTAGTGGTAGTGTAGAGTAGTGTAATGTAATTGGTGTAGTGTAGTGTAGTGGTAGCTGTAGTTGTAGTTGTAGTAGCTGTTGTAGTTGTGTAGTGGTGGTTGTAGTTGAAACTGCGACAAAACCCTCACGTTTTGCTCACTCAAGGTGCACACCCCAAGACTTGCCATAGCGGATGCCATAGCGTTTTGAAAATGAGGTTCTAAGTTGTGAGATTACGATGATTTGGGGATAATCTGCTTCATCCCTTTTCAATCAGACAAACGCGATTTAGATTCCCAACATTTCCTGGCACTGAAAAACTACCGCAGGGTGATGAGACGAATCATCCTGCGAGTTCGCGTATAGTATGGAATTGTAATGCCTTGGTGGGAAATCAGTGTGAGAAGAGTCTGTGTGGAACAGTTTGCATCAGTTTGTTTACAAGTAACTCCCTAGCAATTGTAATGAAACACCATGAAACACCAAGGGTGCAAATTCCCAGCAATGGTAAAGTTGGACATCTGTGATTCGACGTGCGAAATCAGTCAAGCCCTACACAGCTGGTGACACAATTGGGAATTACGTGGTTTCCCCCGTTGATTTAGAGGTTGGTTTACTCTCCATCAGAGAATCATGTGGATGCTTGTGAAATCCACTGCGAAAAGGATGATTGAAACAACGAGTGCAGGATTTCTTCCACAGGGGATGTCTCATGACCAGGTGCATCTGGGCGACATCGGTGCATCGCTCTTTCCCCGCAATGAGAGGTCACAAGTGCAACCAATATTGATGGATATAGCAGATAAAACATAATTTGATATGACATATGACTTGAAATATTGATATAAGATTTATAAGAAGGTCTGGGAACTTTAGGGGCCTATGAAACCACCAATTCACTAAGGACAGGAGGCAGCTCAGAACAAGTCAAGTTGGTTTCGGATGGATCCATCGTCGTATCGAAGACATGCGCCGACGACGGCCACTTGGGTGGATTGGCTTCGTCCGCCAAGGCGTCCTGGCGCTGCACAGCTGGAAACAGGGATAGCCTCTGGGAATATGACCAGCTATAGGAAATCCATGGGAAACCTTTTTTTTACAGGGGTTTAATGAGGTTTATAATGGTTTATAGCTGGGAATATCTTAACTATAAATCAGCTACAAATGATGGATTTTTCCAGCCATGCTTAGCAAAGGGTAATGTGTATTGGGGCGAAACTACCATTAAATGTACGGTTGAAATGATGGGATATCATGGGAAGTAACTGGGATATGCTGGGATCAAAAAAATCTGGGATATAACTAACCAACAATCATGGCGAACCGGGAAATCCCCAATATAAATGAACATTCCTTTCCGTTTCTTCACCTGATGTCTCAGCAGTGCCAACGCTCACTTTTTCGGTCACATCCATCGGACTGTTCTCTGCGGTTGGGATTGGTCTTCCGGACCAAAACTTTGGCCTTTCCAAGGCCTCAAGGAAACCACCAAACGATGTTATAGGTCTCTTCCAAAAAGCAACTGGTAATAGATCATTCAAACAAGCAAACGAAGCTCTCCTCAAGAGCGCCCTCAAAGATAATTTCACCATCTTCAAACACGCAGCTGGCAAGAGACAAAAAGCAACTGGTAATAGATCAACGCAAACGAGCCACTAACAAAGCTTTCCTCAAGAACACCTCAGATCTTCTATCACGCAACTGGAAATAGCCAAACGTCTGAAATAAGTCATCAAATGGTGTTATCAGATCTCTTCCAAAAGGCAACTGGTAATAGACAAATGGAAACAAGCCAACAAAGCTCTCCTCAAGAGCGCCCTTGAAGACAATCTCAACCAACAATGTCATACTCAACAGCGCAATCGATGAAGTGGAAACCAAGATGCTTGCAAAATGCTTCAAAACAAAGTCACCCACCCTGGGGGTCGGGGGCGGCGAATCCACCATGCAAGCAAGGCCAACGTGCAGGAAGAAGGCAAAAGGGTTGGGGTCGGGGGGGGCAGTTGCCCCGGGAGTTGGCACTGCGACTGTAGGCATGGACGGCATTGGAGTGGCCATGGGCGCTGGCATGGGAATTGGGGGTGATGCAGGCACAGGCCCCCACCACCTTGACTGAGAGTCAAGCCACCATACCAAATGGTCTTCCAGGACGCAGCTGGGCTGCAAACCAGCCAAAGCAGTGTCAGCCAATTCACGCCAAATTTCCGCAAAGACCCTTGCAGCCACAACGCTGATGGCCCGCAGCAGCAACAGTAAAGCCATAATGAGCAATGCCGCAATGAGTTTGGGGAACAGGATTGCCAGCCCGACCACGGCCATGACCACAAGGCCACCAGATTTGGGAGCCCACCGCTGGCACCACTTCGTGAGCTTGCTCTGCACGAAGGATGCAAAGCCTCCTGCTGCAACCGGATCCACCAAAGGCAGTGGAGTAACTGCTGGGGGTTGATCCGTAGTTGGGGTGTCAACAAAGAACCCAGGTCGCACTGATTGCAAAGCTTTTGTCACCTTTGAGCTTGACCAAGAGGTTGGCCCACTAGCGGGCCCTGTGCAACTGGTCACACAGCGCGGCTGCTTCATCCACGGACAAGGGAGGCGCAGGGCGCTAAAGGTGGAGCTTCAAGCCACCTCACACCTTCACGGATTGCAGATGCACGCTGCTTTCCTTGCTCTGTCACAAAGCTAGTGGCATTAAATAAATTGATTCCTGGATATAGTACTGCAAAGTCTGCGCGCCCTTCCAGATTGCCATGTGAGCGGAATTGGTGTGTAGCACCACCAGACCGGAAAGAAGAAAGGGTGTATCCCAAGTTCCCTATGTTTAGCCAATTACAAGCTTCTCGCAATTTCCGGCTCCTCGCAATTTCCGGCTCCACAACTGCATTGAAAACCCAAAAGCCAAAGAATCTCTCTTCTGTTCGGTGGTCCACCATTGTAGCCAGCGGATCAGCGGCTGCTCTGTACATACCATCAGAGGGCCGGAGAAGGCTTTCAAAAGCCAACCGCCAACCCAAGGCTGAAGCCCACCATTCACGGCGGTGACGTCCTTGTTCCTCCAAACCTTGAGCTAAACCAGCCAAAACTAAAGCCTCTAAGACCCAGCGTGTGACTGGAATCCTAGATCGGGCAGCTAGCAAAGTTTCCCAGCCCCTCAGCGCGCACCAGGTTGCCCGCAGCATAGCCCCAAATATGCACAATTTCCTCTGCACAGCCTCCACTGCTAGGGTAACCTTATAATGTCGCACTCCTTCCTCATAAGCATCTTGAACGACTTTTCCATGAGCCTATAAACTTGCACAGCCGCAAGAGCCCAGGTCAACCGAATCCCTCGCCATTATGCTTGTTCATAACCTCAAGCCCAGCCGTCCCGCAGAGAAGACTGATAGGGAGCCATAAACCAACCGTACGCAACCTAACCATAGCCAGCCACCATTACTAACCATACCAAAGAGCGCACCTCTGAGCCAGTTCTCGGCAAAACTTCAATGGATAAGCTGCAGCCTTCCTAGCGCCTGATTGATCCATGGGGCAGTAATCATGAGTAGCTTTCCTATTAACAGGATCCTTCCAACCCCTATAGCAACACCAATCCACGTTTACTGTCCAAGCTCCTGTCTGTTGCCTGAACCTCCTGGTAGATCTGGTAGACTTCATCTGCCAAGCGCGCGAGCTGCGAGGATGTTCAATGGTGAAAAACAACCCACAACAATTTGCTTCTCTACCCAATTCCAATGATCGATTCCAAAGCCGGTTCCCAATATTCACCATGGGGTTGGCTGGGTCACCTTCAGGATTACAGGCAGGCCGTAGGGGACCTTCTGGATCCAAATTTCGTACAGGGGAAAACGAAAAGAGGGAAGAGAGAGCCAAAGCCAACCACACTCTCCGTGAGACAACACCGCCGAAACCCTAGGATCAAAAGCATCATCAATGTGCCATCCCGTCGTGGCCTCCTCCTGGGCTTCAAAACCTCAGGAAAAGGAAGTGCACATGGAAATGCTGCTGAACCGCCAGCCGGAGCTGGCAGGGTACCTTGGATGTTGCGTCTGCAAGACCACTGGTAAAATCTAACAAAGGCAGAGTTGCCCTTCCCCTTCAAGAAAGGCAGCTCCTAGGGTCAAATGAATTCAGGCCCGCATTGTCTTCCCCTAACAAGGAATGTCTCACTTCCTCTCTTCGTGCTCCTCGCCAGCCAATCCCTCTGTCTCCTTGACTCTCTGCCTCAACTTGCTCAAGCTGTTGAGGTAACCTGAGACCACAGCTAGCTCCTCCTTGGTTCCCGCAAATTCGCGGGGCCGCAGCGCATCGCTTAGCCCCGTCAGGAGCCAAGCGCTGGACCACTCGCCTTGTTGGAGTACGGCTTGCATCTTCGATTTCATGTTCTGAATGCACTGAGCCGTGGTGCTCTCGTATTCCTTCTGCCGCAACATCTCGTAGACGGCTACGTCCTCGATAGCGCACCGATACAGCCCCTTGAACTTGCCCCAGTGGAAGCGCTTGATGTAGCCCTTGACTGTCCATGGAGCTCCTGGCACCACTCCTAGCTCCTCGATGGCTTCTCGTTCGCTCTCTATCTGGTGATCCGCTTCTAAAGCCCGAACTGATTTCATGCCCTTGTCGGACCCGCCGATGTCCACAGCGTCTGAACTCGAGCCACCACTTGAGTACTGGAGCTGGAAGACTTTTTTCGGTGGCGGCTGCGATTCCGGTGGGGCTTGGGCTTCCTTTTCTCCATCATCATCTGGCACATCATCAAAGGTACCAAGCTGGACGGATCCCTGCCCGCGGCCATCTGGGCCTGGAGCAGGCTCTGGAAATCGAGCTCCTCCGAGCTTTCGGCCTTGCGGGAGGTTCTGTGACGCCCTTGCTTGGATCGGCCCTGGCCTCCAGGGGATTGACAAGCCACACTCTGATAATCGTCGCTGTCCTCTTCGGCCTCTTCGAACTCTTCCTCGCTCACTGCTTTTCCGGTCATCAACCCCTTCAGACGCCCCTCAAGCCAGCTTGGATGTCGGCATGGGATTCCGAACCATGCTGGACTCTGCCCAACAAAGCTGATGGATCAAGATTTTCGGCTTCGCTAGACTCAATGGGCACCTCCTCTACTGAAAACCAAAGAGCTCGGGCTTTGCGGGGAGAAGGGGCTTTCGCTGACAAGTCTTTCGGCGAACCCTTTGGACGGTTGATATGGAGATATGGTAGTCGGACAAAACCAAATTCCTCGCGCTTCACCACAGCAGCAACGCCCGGCAGAAGATCAGTAGAGCAAGCGACTATGGCGTCGGCACCTAAATCTTCAATTATCACACCTTAGTGTCCTGTTGGCCACTAGCTCCTTTCAGGAGACAGGGGACCTGGGTTCCTTCTCTAATCATATTTGCTCTCGAGCCCACTTGCAGCTCGAGCGGGGACGTTGACCTCAGGTTCACGATCACACTCACAGGAATATGCTTTGCATAATACACAGAATACACATTTTACATAATGATATATATATATATAAATATACACATAGAGAGAGAGATAAATAAATATGTATAGGAATCGTATAGATATATAATTATACGTACATACATACATACATACGTACATACATACATACATAGATACATACATACATACATACAAACATTACATTGCATTACACTACATTAGATTTCATTACATTACATACAACATTACATACATTACATCACATTACGCTACATTACATTACATTACGTTACGTTACGTTACATTACATTACATACATTACATTACATTACATTACATTACATTGCATTGCATTGCATTGCATTACATTACATTACATTACGTTACATTACCTTCCGTTACCTTACCTTACATTATATTACATTACATTGCATTACATTACATGACATAAATTACATACATTACATACATTACATACATTACATACATTACAAACATTACATACATTACAAACATTACATACATACATACATACATACATACGTACATACATACATACATCCATACATACAAACATACATACATACATACATACATCACCATACATACATTACATACATACATACATACATACATTACATTGCATTGCATTACACTACACTACACTACACTACATTACATTACATTACATTACATACATACATACATACATACATAACATTACATACATACATACATACATACCATTACATACATACATACATACATACATACATACATACATTACATACATTACATACATTACATACATTATATACATTACATACATTTCATACATTACATACACTCCATACATTACATAAGTTACATACATCACATCACATCACATCACATCACATCACATCACATCACATACATACATACATTATATACATTACATACATTTCATACATTACATACATTACATACATTTCATACATTACATACATTACAAACATTACATACTTACATACATTACATACATTACATACATACATTACATACATACATTACAGACATACATACATTACATACATTACATACATTAGATACATTACATACATTACATACATACAATACATGCATTACATACATTACATACATACATTACATATATTACATACATACATTACATACATTACATACATTACATACATTACATACATTCCAAAACAAAACATAACATAACAAAACAAAACATAACATAACATACCATACATACATACATACATACATACGTACATACATACATACATACATTACATACATACACACATACTTACATTACATTACATTACATTACGTTACGTTACGTTATGTACGTTACGTTACATTACATTTCATACATTACATACATAACATACATTGCATTACATACATACATTACATTGCATACATACATTACATACATTAGATACATTACATACATACATTACAAACACACATACATACATACATACATACATACATACATTCTTTCATACATACATACATTACATTACATTACATTACATTACATTACATTACATTACATACATACATACATAAGTACATTACATACATTACATACATTACATACAGTACATACATAACATACAAAACAAACATTACATACATTACATACATTACATACATTCCATACATAACATACATAACATACATAACATACATAACATAACATTACATAACATAACATACATACATTACATACATTGATAATTACATACATACATACATACGTACGTACGTACGTACATACATACATACATACATACGTACATACGTACATACGTACATACGTACATACGTACATATGTACACACATACAAAACAGAACATAACCTAACATAACCCAACAAAACATAACAAAACATAACATAACATAACATACATACATCCATGCATGCATACATACATACACGACCCTGCGACATTGAAATCTTGGAACAGTGGGTCGTGCTTGGATCGTCAAAATCCATGGCTTCACAGGGCCAATCTCCATGGAGATCTTGCCTCCACCATATTCTCTCGGCACATGGGACGGGATTTGAGCCCGAAATCGCCCGAAATCAGTCCAAACAGTCCCAAACAGTTAAAAAAAACATGGCGAAGCGACCCAGCGTTACATCACAAAAACCAGCTGGTAATCAAACACGGCAATTGAAAATCAACTATTTATATTCAATGGAGGTCTTAATGGGAAAATCAATGAAAATAATCTGTAAGTGGATATTCCATTGCCACGTTTGATTACCATAGGGTACCATCTGGGCCATACTCCCTTGTTTTGCTATCCTGCAAGGAGAACGGGAAAACACAAGCTGCTCTGTGGATATAATAAACAAACATCTACTCTACCTAGCCCATGTTCACCTACCAATTACCAGTCGTCTAACCTAGCAACAAGCCATGATGCAGTTTCAACCCATCGCGCCACTCTCCACTTGGGATCATGGGGTATGGACAGGATAGAAAACAAGTGTAAGAGAAACATAGATCTAGAACATTCTAGAACTAGTTTAAGGATTGGTTTAAGGATTGGAATATTATGTCATTCCACTTGTTAAGGATGAATGGATTTGTTTCCACTCTCAAAGAACGCCCCGCTCCGTCATTGCGCCACCAAGGATGGCAAGGACGGCAAAGAGGTAGAGCTGAATCTGCCGAAAGGTGGATCCAGCCGTAGCTTCTGAAGTATGACTAGGGCTTGATTTCAGGGGTTAGCCGTACCTGAAATCAGGTAGTTGGATCCATAGGGTTAGTGTTTACAAAATATATGTATATATATATGGTCCATATCTAACTTATACGTAAAATCTTCAAATGGCATAACGCATTTCGAGCTTGCAACTTGCTGGCCGACCTAAAGCCCGCCATGGCGCCACAGGAATTCAACTCCAAACATGTCATGACCGGGCGATTCATGGTGATACGTGATTCTGGTCATTGGATGTCATGGTCATGGCGATTCATGGCATGGTCAAATTCATGGGGACGACATTTGACGTCTGAATTTGCTGGGCAAAAAATTGCATCCACGTGAACGAAATTTCATCAAACATATGTCCCTTTCGCGAGTATGCCATTTTTAGGGATCCGCTTCTACCTGTTCACGCAACATATCTAATCAAATAAAATCGGCAGAACAGCCTTTTCTAGTATCATTATTACTATATTACTATTCCATACTATTCCTATTTTTTGATTCCCCCCTTTGTTATTGCTTTGAACCCAGCCTATGCAACATATTGACCATCGAGACGGCGACAGGCTTCAGAGACGGTCATGAGGTTTGGCTGCTCTGTACCCATCCACATGAGTCATAAAATAACCATGAAGATATATCTACTTCAGTTGGATTCACACCAATATATGTTAACCAAAAACAATCAGATATATAAAATTACAGTATCTATTTATATGTGTATACAACTTTTCATATATATATATAATTATATATATTATATATATATACATCGACTTAGCTCTTGTTTGGGGTCCGACCTGTTACCAATTTCTACTACACCCATCTTGCAGGTGCATCTATCATGGACAAAGACACAAAAATGGCCTGGCACGACATTGCCGCTCGCTTGGCATCGAACGAAGAAGGCACCCGATCCAAAGCTTTGCATTTCTGACTGCCGCCAAAAACATTTTTATTCACTCATCTGGTCTTTGATTTTTCTGGTTTGCCGCCATGTTCACAGTCTACTTTAAAGCGGGTATGGGTCAAACATGGAAACAAAAAAACCTTGTCACCGCAGGGTGACATGGACCTCTCCATCCTGTGTGTTTCGTAGTTTTTTGTGTCCGACCCATCCCGGTGACTGCTCATGGCGATATGATGAGTTGTGGGGCTTCGAAGCTGTGCAGTGGACCAACGGCTGAGTTCCACTCGCCTACATTGCATTAGATGGATTGAAGTCCAAAATAATGATATAACATGTTACACCCACCCTAAAATGACCATCTGAAGCCAGAAAACGATGAAGCACATGTTGGGAAAATGATAAAGAATGTGTCTGTCGGGGTGCCCTATGATTAAACAAACAAACCTATACCAAATGACATGACATTCAATCATTGTGGGCATATAAAAAAAAATAATTCCGACAGTAAAATGGACATGTTCATA